AAAAAAAAAAAAAAAAAAAAAAAGTAAAAAAAAAAACCTACTCAATTTGGAAGAAATGGAAGGGATGGTCCAGTGCTCTTGTGTTACAAGAATACAGCCAGAGATTGAGGTAAATAAAGGTATTTTTAAACAAAAACAACAAGGCATCTGTACATATTCTAGGTATGTGTTACATGTCATAAGTGTTGAAAGCTACATTTGGAAATGGAAATATACCTAATATACATTGATCACAATTATAATTTTATTCTTCTAAATGGAAAGTTCAACTTTTAGAGGCAACCTCCAAGCAACTACTAACTGCCACAAGGCTTGCGTCCCTGCCAGAATCTCCCATTTTGTGTTTCCCCCGCCTTAGGACACACAGGAAAGCAAGTCATCAAATCCACTGACAAGGCTGGGGCTGTGCTCCAGACATACTAGTTTTTCAAGGCAGAAAGCTAACTAGCATACAGGTACACCTCATTTTATTGCACTACACTTTATTGCACTTGCTCTAAACGGAAGGTTTGTGGTACCCTGCACAAAACAAGTCAACTGGTGCTATTTTTCCAACATGTCCTCACTTTGTGTCTCGTTTTGATAATTCTCACAATATTTCAAACTTTCTTATTCTCATATCTGTTATGGGGATCTGTGGTCAATGATCTTTGTTACTGGTGTGATCGCTTTTGGGTGCTGTGAACCTAACTGATAAATGTTGTATGTTGTGACTGCTCCACCACGAGCCCTTCTCCATCTCTCTCCCTCTCCTTGGACCTCTCTATTCCCTGAGACACAACAATATTGAAATTAGGCCAATTAATAACCCTGCAGTAGCCTCTAAGTATGCAAGTGAATGGAAGAGTTGCCCATCACTTTAAGTCAAAAGCTAGAAGTAATTGAGCTCAGTGAGGAAGGCATGTCAAAAGCTAAGGCAGGTCAAAAGTCAGACCTCTTGTACCAAACAGCCAAGTTGTGAATGCAAAAGAAGAGTTACTGGAGGATGTTCAAAGTGCTACTTCAGTGAACACACAGATGATAAGAAAATGAAACAGCCTTATTGCTAATATGGGGAAAGCTTTAATGGTCTGGAGAGACGACCAAACCAGCCACAACATTCCCTCCAGCCAAAGCCTAATCCAGAGCAAGGCCTCCTGCTCTCTTCAATTCTATGAAAGATGAGAAGTGAAGAAGCTGGAGAAAAAAAGTTGGAAGCTAGCAGAGGTTGGGGTTCATGAGGTTTAAGGAAAGAAACCGTCTCCATAACAGAAGAGTGCAAGGTGACACAGCAAGTGCTGATGGAGCAGTTACAGCAAGTTATCCAGAATATTCAGCTAAGATCATTGATGAAGGTGGCTACCTAACTGCCAGATTTTCAATGGAAATGAAACAGCTTTCTATTGGAAGAAGATGCCATCTAGAACTTTCAGAGCTAAGGAGAAGTCAATGCCTGGCTTCAGGGCATAGGCTGACTTTCTTGTTAGGGCCTAATATAGCTGGTGATTTTAAGTTGAAGCAAATGCTCCTCTGCCATTCCTCAAATCCAGTTAATAACTGGCCCTTAAGAATTATGCTAAAACTACTCTGCCTGTGCTCTATAAATGGACCAAGAAACTTGGATGACTCCGTTTACGGCACAGCTTAAGCCCACTGTTGAGACCTACTGCTCAGAAAAAAAGATTGCTTTCAAAATTTACTGATCATTGACAGTGCACCTGGTCACCCAAAAGCTCCGATGGAGATGAATGTTATTTTCATGCCTGCTAACACAACATCTGTTCTGCAGGTCTTGGATCAAAGAGTTCTCTCAACTTTCAAGTCTTATTATTTAAGAAATATATTTTGTAAGTCTGCCATAGGGACTTATCTGATGGATCCAGGCAACATACACTGAAAATTCTTCTGGAAAGGATTCACAATTCTAGATGCTGTTAAGTGCATTCATGATTCATGGGAAGAGGTCAAATATCAACATTAAAAGGAGTTTAGAAGAAATTAATTCAAACCCTTAGGGATGACTTGGAGGGGTTCAAGACTTCAGTGGCAGAAATCACTACAGATGTGGTAGAAATAGCAAGAGAAGTAGAATTAGAAGTGGATCCTGAAGATGGAACTGAACTGCTGCAATTGCATGATTAAACGTTAATGGATAACAAGTTTATTCTTATGAGGAGCAAAGAAAGTGGTTTCTTGAGATGTCATCCTTCACCTACCTGGTGAAGTTGCTGTGAACATTGTTGAAGTGATAACAAAGGATTTAGAATATTACAGAAACTTAGTAGATAAAGCAGTGGCAGAGTTTAAGAGCTCTGACTCCAATTCTGAAAGAAGTTCTACTGTGGGTAAAATGCTATCAAGCAGCATTGCATACTACAGAGAAGTCTTTGGTGAAAGGAAGAGTTCATTGATACAAACATCATTTTTGTCTTATTTTAAGAAATTGTCACAGCCACCCCAACCTTCAGCAATCACCACCATGATCAGTTAAAAGCCATCAGCATCAAGGCAAGACCCTCTACCAGGCACAAGATTACAGCTTAAAATTAAGTATTTTTTAAAGTATGTATATTGTTTTCTAGACATAATGCTACTAATACTTAAAAGACCAGCTGGCATGGTTCCTCACCCCTATAATCCCAACACTTTGGGAGGCCAAGGCGGGAAGACTGCTTAAGCTAGGAGCTCAAGACCAGCCTAGCCAACATAGCGAGATCCTGTCCCTACAAAAAATCAGAAAATTAGCTGGGCATGGTGGTGTGTGCTGTAGCCCCAGCTAATTGGGAAGCTGAGACAGAAGAATCCCTTGAAGCTCAGGAGGTCGAGGCTGTGGCAAGCCATGATCATACCACTATACTCTAGCCTGGGCATCAGAGCGAGACCCCGATTCAAAAAAAACCAAACAAAAACAAAATTTAGTCAGGCACAGTAGCTCATGCCTATAATCCTAGCCCTTTGGAAGTCTGAAGCAGGAGTTTGAAACCTGCCTGAGCAATATAGTGAAACCTGTTCATCTCTACAAAAAAAAAGGAAAAAGATTACAGTATTGTATAAACATAACTTTTTTTTTTAGTTGGAGTCTCACTCCATCGCCCAGGCTAGAGTGCAGTGGCATGTTCACGGTCACCCAGCATCGACCTGCTGGGCTCTGGCGATCTTTCTACCTCAGTCTTCCAAGTAGCTGTAAATACAGATGCACGCTACCATGTCCAGCAATTTTTCGATTTATTGTAGAGCTGAGGGCTCACCAAATTGCCCGGGCTGGTCTCAAACCTGCAGACTCAGGCAATCACTCGCCGAACTTTTATATGCACTAGAAAACCAAAAAATTGGTGACTCAGTTTATTAAAATATTCACTTTTTTGTAGTAGTCTGGAACCAAACCCGTAATATGTCTCCAAGGTATGCCTGTATAATGACAAAAGGGATCTACTATGGTCCTCATAGTACTGTTTCCTTCCAAAACTCATATGTGATTTTTCCCACTCCATTTGAATAGGATACTATTACAAAATACTAATCCAGACTGTTAAAAAAATCTATGAATCCTTTATGCCATACAATTTAAGAAAATGTTATAAACTTATGACCTTATGTGTAATTTCCAAAGAAAAAGCAAGCTAGGAATGGGAGTCTTCTACTCAGTCACAGAGGCAGCTTATGTTGTAACACATCCCTCCACAAAGCTCTTTTTCTGACTGTGAACATTATTTGGGTTTCCTCAGGTGGCAGTCACATAAGCCTTTAGCTCATCTGTCCTTTTCAACTCCTGTTTTCAGAGCTACTCAATGAGCGTATTGGGTTCTATAGAGCTGCCTGCTTGCAAGGCCATACCACACTGGGTCTCAGTGTCCTCATTTATAACAGGATGCTACTGGTCTCCCTGGATGACCTTAACTCTTCCAGTGTTTGTAGGCAGTTGTAGGAGCAACTGTCAAAGGTACAGCTAGTAAAAACTACAATGTATAAAGCTGCCATTTAGGGTGTGTATGTGTAATGATCAAGTCTGCAGGAAGTGTTGAGAAGGGTCAGGTCACTATCACATCAGCAACTTGTCCTTTAACAGGATTTTTTTTTTTTTTTTTTTGAGTTGGAGTCTCACTCAGTCGCCCAGACTGGAGTGCAGCAGCCGCTCCCGGCCACCGCAGCCTCGACCTGCTGGGCTCCGGCGATCCTTCCGCCTCAGCCTTCCGAGTAGCCGGAATTACAGGCATGCGCCACCACGCCCGGCTGATTTTTTGATTTATTGTAGAGATGAGGTCTCGCTGCCCAGGCGGGTCTCGAACCCGTGGGCTCAGGCAATCCACTCACCTCAGCCTCCCAAAGGCGCGGGATGACAGGCTGAGCCACCGAGCCTGGCTAACAGGATTTTTTAATGAGCAGTTTAAATTTAAGAACAATTTTATAGTTAAACCCACCCAATTTTTAATGTGCGGAATACTTTTAAACTGTTAGCACCAAAAGGAGAAAGAATATTCTATTATAAGGCTGGTTACAGTGTCTCAGTGGACACAGCAAGGAACAGCGTAAGTAAAGTCTCTCTCAAGCACTTCCTGAACGAGTCAGTGGTCAGAGGGAGCAGGCACTCCCAGCCTCAGTCCCTGACCCTGAAAATACTGTGCCCCATCACTGACCTAGCGCTCGTCCTTGCCATACATGAGGGGCCGCTGTGGTCCTACCAACTTAGCCCATCGCTGGTCAGGCCAGTTTACAATGGGAAAAAATAATACACCCTCATAAGATTCCTACAGATTTGAGTTCACTGAGTGCTTTAGTAGCTAGAACTAAAAAATTTTTTTAATTATCTAAACAAATTAGTTGGCGCCCCCCAAAATTGTACTTAGTATACTCCGTTCATTTCTTTGGCTGAGAGATTCAAGTGTGTGCTATGGAACATTGACAGTTACTAGAGATCAAGGAAATTTGTAGGAGAAAGGCTATTTTTTAACTTGCCACAGGAATTCTTAAGCAGGCTCTAAAGAAAACCAAAGAATAAAACTTCTAATGAATGTCATAGTTTTCCTATTATAGATATCTGCTTCTCACAGGGGTCTGGGTTCAAAAGTAGCTCAAAACACAGCACTCACCACTCTGACAACAGCACAAAGTCAAATGGAAAACGTGTGGGATATTCTTTGGAGGACGTACTAATACCTGAGCAGCAACGTGTTCCTGGTTTGCAGGCCCAAAAAAAGAATTTTAGACAGACAAGAAAAAAAATTACAAACTTAAGAGATCAATGTATTAACGGTTTTCAGAGTAGTACCCTATATTTGATGTTCATGGTTCATGCACATGTATTCTTAATTTCTTAAACTAGACAGGAAGGTATAAGTCACCATTCTCCTCTAATTTTTGAAATAATTTTAAACTGCGCAATCCAGATTCTCGCTCTCCATTTTTCCAAAAAATAATGAGATGATCAGCAGAGCATGTCACCAGTCCATGATCTTCAAAGTACAGAAACATCTGTAAAGAAAATTAAAACTACTGATTATAGGAACCTCAAGAAGAAGAGAAGAGACTTATAATAGATTACCACATGTGCTTTTAAGATACGTACTCCATTTCATTTTTCACAAATTTCATCTTTAAGTACTGGTAACAGTCACAAACACAACCAATATCTAATATTGTAATAATCAGAACTTTGTGAATATTGCTCACACATAAAACTATGAGTAACAGCTAATTTTGTAAAGTACATGAATTCCCAAAGTTCTTCTAAATTTTACCATAATTGAATTCTTCAAGTATTGGTTTTACTTAATCATTACTTATACACAAGTAGCTATGGATAAGATGTCTGAATTCCAAATTTTCCAAGATAAACACTGGCTTCAGCTCTCTATATAAAAGTAGATAGAACTTAATCAACCCATAAATATTAGTTACTAAGTATCCTCTGGATGTTTTTGGTCCCTACTCTCAAGAAGACGCTTGCTCAGTTGTCAAAACCAAATCATAGGGCAGCAATGAAGACTATGAAATCAGGAACCAAATCATGTAGTACAGACTATGACATGCCACAGAAATCTAGAGAAAGAGGAAATCAATCCGTAATAACCAAAGTTGTCAGAGAAAGTTTCAGAAAGAAAACTCTCAAGTACAGGGAAAGGGCATGCCCAATACTTAGAACAGGCTGCAGCTCCAACGCTGAGGAAAGGCACCATGAAGATATGGTGTGGAGAGAGAGCTGGGTCAGAGAGCCCATGAAAGGGATGTGGTCCTTAAAGGAGAGTGAGGTAAAGGAGAGAAACAGCATATTAAGGCACAAAAGGATGAGAATTTTCTCTGAAATGACGCAGACATTTCTGAAACAGCAGGATAAGCCACAGGAGGACTCAGCGGATGATGGACTGAAGGAGGGAAATGTGAGAGCAAATTTCCTCAGGAGACTGGAAAAGACAGAATGCAGTACACAGGTAGAGGGCTGGGACAGAAAGCAAGGATGAAAATACAAAGGAAATGAGGATGTTCAGGAGATGGCACTAAAGAGACAGCCTAGGTTTTTTACCACTGAAGCCAGGTAGGCTTTTTTAAAAAATGTTTGTGTCAACACTCACTCAGAAAAATTTCTAAGAATCTGACACTGGTTTATACTCTGAGAAATGTGCCATTTTGGGCCAGGCGCAGAGGTTCACCCTAGGCAACGTAGCAAGACCTCATCTCTACAAAAAAAATCAAGAAAATAGCTAGGCATGGTGGTGCAGGGAAGGTGGAAAGACTGTCTGAGCCCAGGAGATTGAGGATGCGGTAAGCCATGATTGTGTCATTGTAGTTCAGGCTGGGTGACGGAGTGAGAATTTTACTCAAAAAAAGTGCCATTCTGAAGTCTTCCCCACCATCTAAAACCCATCTTTGTAATGGAATCCTCTATTATCTTAAAGATAAACTCTCCAGCCTTCCCTTCAAGGACATTCATAATCTGACCCCAAACCATTTTCCCAGGCTTTACCTCCTACTCATGTCTGTTCACAGGAACCCAGTGCTCCGGCCTAGGTAGTCTGCTTCATGCCACCACATAAATGCCATATTTGCCCTTTTGTCTACCACACTCCATTCTCACCATCCCCAAATTACACTATAGCCACCCACCCACAAACAAAAACAAAGTCAAAACACAAAACAAACCAAAAAACAGCTACTTGTCAGAGAAAAGCAATGATAAATAAGATGTATCAAGCAGCTTATGGTGACAAGCCTACATATTAATGATACCTAAACTTTGGCTGGGCTCGGTGGCTCAGCCTGTAATTCCACGCTTTGGGAGGCCGAGGTGAGTAAACTGCCTGAGCCCGCGGGTTCGAGACCCGCCTGGGCAACTTGGCGAGACTTCATCTCTACAATAAATCAAAAAACTAGCCGGGCATGGTAGCGCGCGCCTGTAGCTCCAGCTCCTTGGAGGGCTGAGGCAGAAGGATCACCGGAGCCCAGCAGGTTGAGGCTGAGGTGGCCAGGAGCGGCCACTGCACTCCAGTCTGGGTGACAGAGTGAGACCGCAACTCAAAAGACAAAAAAAACAACCCCAAAAAACCAAAAAAACCCTAAACTTCAAAGTTCAGTTCCAGTCTTAAGTCCCTTGTCTTACACTAGCCATTCACAAAAGTGCTCCTTCTAACTGCTGGGTATTCACTGGTTCTACTTATTTGGGTCTTTCATAAGCAGCCTAGAGGGACAGCCGAGTAGGTCTAGAGCCTTCCTCTTCACTGGAGTAGAAGATCCATGAGGGCAAGGATTGTATTTTCCACCTCTTTGTAAACTCCGGTACCCAGGGCCTAGTAAAGCACCTGAGATACAGGAAATGCTCACTAACGAGGGTGCTGCTGCAGCTCATAAGCATGAATGTCCTTGCAAAGGAGAAGATATTTTTCTTCCCTAGCTATGAAACAGGGAAGGGCAATTTAAGACGTTCCTTATTTAGGGCCCTGCTTACACTGTTATCATCACACTGTCATTAGTTCCAACCGTCTCTTCATCTCAACTGGTCTTATTCCTTCATCACAGGCCGTGGAGCCTGTAGTAAATCTTCATGTGTTTGGATTTCTACAAGTTAGAATTTTGAGCATGATAATTTTCAGCTAACACTTTAACATATGCCCAATAATAACCAAGGTACAGGGTTTTATTAAAGCTAACAAATTATTATCCTCCAAAGGCAGGTGGAATCAGCACTCTGCTCATGAATCAGATAAAGGTCCCTGGAGTAGATTCTGTTAAGTTTTAACTCTACACATAGAACCACAACCCTCCATCCGCTCTCTGTTGATTATAGTTCTATGTTCGACATGATTTGACACTGCCCCTACTGTCAGCTATTCCCAGCTCTTAAATAGTGGCGATTTAGCCATTCTTTTTTTTTGGAGTCAGAGTCTCACTCTGTCACCCAGGCTGGAGTGCAGCGGCATGTTCACAGCCACCACAGCCTCAACCTGCTGGGCTCAGGCAATCCTTCCACCTCAGTCTTCCAAGTAGCTGGAACTATAGGCACGTGCCACCACACCCGGCTCATTTTTTTGATTTATTGTAGAGATGAGGTCTTGCCATGTTGTCCAGGCTGGTCTCGAACCTGTGCGCTCACACAATCCTCTCACCTCAGTCTCCCAAAGTGCTGGGATTACAGGCGTGAGCCACCGCACCTGGCTAGCCCATTGTTAGAAGCAGTGCATTTCTTGTTTCCTTAGATCTGATCTCTGTAAAGGGAGATCCTAGATGCACATACTGTAGCCTATACTATTCCATGTTCTGATCTGGCAGAAACCTACAGATAAGAAAAAAAGTATAGGTCTTTATGAGGCTGTGAAGTACAGGTCTTTGTAAGACCCAATGACTGAAAGGACCATATGACACACAAGCAGGAGCACCTTGGACACTCTATGCCTGAGAAGCCTTACTTCCACAGATGATGAGTGTCCGATCAAATCTCCAATAAGCTCCAGTGAACACAAAGTGGCGTTTTCCTGCTGCTTTTTAACAGGTTGGTTAGCTTGTTTGTTCACTCTTCCAAATCCCCACATGTTAAAAAAACCTAGAAAAAACAATGATTTCAGTCATTTCCAAAATTACTGTGCTCTTTGCTTACAGTAGTAATGTGAGACAGACAACCAGAATATTTAAATGCAACAATGTTCCACACTTATTTTAGTCAAGGGCTAAGTTGATGGAATCAAGCACTATGCTAGGGCTTTCAAAGTCTGTTATTTCATTTCATCTTTCTTAGCTGACCAGGTTTGTTCCTCATCCTCTCTGCTGTTCCTCCTCACGCACTGGGGAAAGTATGTCAACATAGTAAAAAGACAGCACTGGGAATGAAAGAGAAGTCACCGGCCTGAATGGCAGTGTCTAAACTGTCAAAGAAAAAGGGCACAGCTTAGATCCACCAACAAAGTACAGAGGAAAAGCTCCATGTAAGTGTCCTGAAACAACAACCTTGGATTTCAGGTAAGTCCAAAGAACCAGCAGAAACTAGAGGTACCAGCATCTGATTTCTTATGCAAGGACTGGTAACTACTTTACTCATTCACGGTTTTGTTTTTCAAACCAAACACCTGAAAGTCGAGAGCTCATGAAATCATAATATAAACACAAAAAATTTTTCCATAAACTGAGTTTAGTGTCAAGGTGACAGAACACTTTAACTTGACCTCTGATAGTACAAATTTTGTGTATCTGTCAAAATTATAGACAATACAAGTGAATGATTACTTCATTAGGCCATCTGATATTCAGCTTACCAGAAAATAAGTTTCCCCTCAAAACAATAAAATCCCAGTTGACTTGAATTGAAATAAAGAGGCAGCTCTACATGAAGGCAACACTGAGATGTAAATCTTACATCCCAATTACCATACACCTTCTATAAACATCTGATGCCTATTTGGAGCACATTCTATATTATTCTTGTGGTTTCACATAACCGCCTCTCTTCTGCTTTTCACATAAGAAAAAAGGAATGAGAAAAAGACTACGTTCTTAAGAAATGACACACACCTGTTGGTACAGGTTCGGCTGTGAGCTGCTGTTTTTCACGTAGCTCCCAAATGCGTACACTGCCATCTTCTGAGCATGAGATTAACTGCCTGTCAGAACAGAAACTTGGTAATGCAAAGACAGAGAGCATGCTGCTGAGGACCAGCGCTATACTTGCAGTGAGAGAAATCACTGGAGCCCTCGGTTGCTTTTATTTAGTTCTTAGCAGGAGTTGTCAAAAATCACAATTTAACATAGCTTTACAATGCAAACTAAAAGCGCTCTTCAGGAAAGGCGCACATTATACTATGTTACATTGGCTCAAATGCTATATATTTGTTCTCTCCATTAAAAAATATATTCAGGAAAACAGGGTATGAATTACACTTCACAGTGTCTGCAGCAGCCCCCTTCTCTCCTCTACTATATCTCTCCTCATGGTGTCTCTCCTGCTAAAACTGTTCTGCAGAGAAAATAATGCTGTTCCCGTCTCATAATTTCATCCCTAGAAACTCGGTAGCAAATCTACCTAGAGAGGAAAGATTTACAAGGAGCCTTAGATTACAAGGTGACTAGCAACTATTTGCTCTGGGCATAAGCAAACAACAAAACGAAAAATCAGTACATTGTAAGTATCCCAATGTCTTTTACTTTATTACATGAATTCTAGATTTTAAAGAATCTCTTCTTAAAATGAAATTCAATGTAATTCATTTGAACCTCGCTTCTAGTAAGCTCTGTAATATATTGCCACAAATGCTTCTGTTAGAGATGGCACGGGGCATTCTCCATTTTCAAAAGAACACAGCAGGTCAGGCCACGCAGCCAGGTAACTTGGCCACCTGAGAAATTACAGCAGTGGCCCCGGGAACCGTGACTTGCTTTCATCCACTGCAGAACAGATGGGAGCTTGTACCTGTTTGGAAGTGTGGCAACGTGCAGGACACTGGAATCATGTGCAGTCTTCTGGCAGGCAATCACACGCTTCATTTGAAGGTTATACACATATAAACCCCTTCCAACTGCAGCAAACACATTCTGGGGAAAGTTCAGAAATGGGCGTAAAACTAGGACTCACTACTGCCTGATAATCGATTTCTAGCCCTCATGTGACTTCAGAAAGCCACTGTCACCTTCCCTATTCCTGGCCTTCAGTCCAAATCACTGTGCTGCCCTCTGAAGTTCAAAAATGTCAAAGCACTAAAGCAAGCTCAGAGCAGTCAGAAGGTAGAAGGATACAACCACTAGCACAGAGAAAGGTCTGCAGAGTGCACCCTCTCCTCACTGAAATATGATGATATCTAGAGAAAGGAGACCTGACTGGCAGGCTGGCCCTGCAGGAGAAACTATGGGGATATAAACTGGGTTTGCAGTCACATAACACTATAGCCTTGGAAAAATTACCTGGCTTCCTTTGCTTGGAAAATGTGAGCAAAATTCCTTGCATTCCACATCTTACACAATCAAGAATAGAAAAAAGCATATGCTATAGTGCCACTAATATCCTATGATCATCTGAAGGCTTCACAGAAACACTCCTCTAAATGTAGTATTAGAAATGAATACTTTTTTACTAAAGAAATTTAAAATTTTTCTAAAGCATTTTCACTAATATTTATTTCACTTCAGCTTCACAACATCTTGTTAAGGTAGGAAAGGCAAGCATTATTGCCATTTTACAGGGGAGCAAGTTAAAATTAAAAAGAGACTCAAATCCCACAAGAAATGAGACATGGAGTCAATATTAAAATCAAGGTCGTGTCACTCAGTCTCACTCTTTCCTTGCATCATACACACTCACACATACTAGCTTTTGACATTTCTGCAAGTTGTTGACTTCAGGGAACACTTGTCTAAGAATTGTTCATTCGTACTCAATAGGTATGCCATGAAGCAGACCTTTAAAAGTCCCTAGAGATTGCCTTGCTGTTTTGTTTTGTTTTTTCTTTTTTTTTTTTTGAGTTGGAGTCTGGGCCCTCCAACCTTTCTCAGCCTTGAAGTCTGCAAACCCAACTCAGATCTGCAATAAATGAACAAAAGCATGACGCCAACGCTTGCCAGAATCTACATCTGGAATGATCCATTACTCTGCACTCAGTAATATAAGCTGAGGACAACCACCAGAGGCAATAATGAAAACAGCTAGCCAATATGTTAAAATCAAGAGTCCTTTGGATTCATTCAATGTAAAACCCCCAGAAACTAGTTCTATGAACCAGGAAATCAATGCATAGTTTAAGAGATTTATCCAAGGTCAAAAAGAAAAGTATAAACACAACTAGAGAATTCATTCATAAGCTTTAAGGGCAGCATTGATGCAATGGAGACACTTTAGCAATCACCTATCATCAGTAGTCAATAGTCCTTATAAAAGGAAAGAAGTCACAACAAAAAGAAAGGGAAAACGGTATAATGCTTTATCAGCATTTATGGTAGTTAATAAACATCAATCAAAATATAAGATTAAAAGGAATATAAAACAAAAAAACCTTTTAAACACTAATGTTTACAAAAGTGAGGAAAAGGTATAAAATTCAAATATATATATAATTTTAAGGCTACAATTCTTAGAAATCTAGTCTCCACCATTTTTAGACCATATTGTTTTTATCATATATATATATTTTTCAAAATAAAGTTGAGATACAAAGAAATAATCTTTGAATATAGTAGTGTTTTTTAATCCTGTTCTTATTCTATTCTTTTCTGTTTTGTTTTTAAAGAGCAGTACAAAAAAATGGATTATAACTCTCTCCCCTCCAGAACACTATTACTGAAATTTAAAAAATAAAAGTAATAACATGCATGCAGCTAGAAAATTTCAACAGTATAGAAAGGCACAAAATAGAGAGAAAAGCCTCCCCTCCCCAAGGTTACAATTCTTATTTCTTATCATTACATTTAGAAAAGTAACTGCCCTTTAAACACGTTTTCTGAGCCTCTGAGGCTAAAAGAACAGATTTTTCAGATCAGAGCCAAGATTCAGTAGTCCATTGGTACTAATTTCTTACAGCAAAAAAGATGTAAAGTGCTCTAAGAGCATCACTCTCAAGCCCTAAAGAATGGAAGTCAGCAATTCGCACCCAATTTATCTTGCCCCAGAATGCCAGCAGACTGAAAGAGAAACATTCCTGACACTTTAAATTTCTTTCACCTCTCTAGGAAGTGCACTGGAATCTTCAAGAATTCTTTCTTACAGTGTTTCTTAAAATGATTTTAAGCATTTACCTCAAATTCTATGGGACTGTTTAATCCAAATCCAAATTTCAATATGGTTTTAATCATTTAATCTTGCTTCAAGATTAGGAGTGAAGACTAAAATGCAAGTGGTCCAATCTTCAAAAAATATCAGACCATTTTAAAGCACAACTCGACTCCATGAAGAATGATACCTTTTTATGCCCATCATGGGATTAAATTTTTAAAATTAGGCATTGGGTTTATTAAGAAAAGCAAGTTTATAGATATTTTATAGATTTTTTTTTTTTTTTTTTACCTCTTCATCACATGTGAAATGATGAATGGAAATGTCATTTGATTTCTGACAGAGTTTTATTTCTTGCTGGGTGTCCAGTTGTAGAGATGGGTCCCAAAAATTGCGTTCATAGGCCTGCATGGTCCAGTCCAGGACATCCCAGATGATCATCTCGCCAATGTGGGAACCAGTGACAAAACTCAAATCTAGGCAGAGTTCACATATGCCTCATTACTGATCATTTTACAAAAGGTAAAAATGAATGAACTGCTTAGTAGTGATGCTCCATAAAAACTATAGTTAACTAGAACAGTGAGGTACCTAACAAGCCAACAGAAAGATTAATATAACAGAATAAATAGATTCAAGCTGACTTAGTTATTTCCTATGTGATAATGACTGCATTTCATTTCAGTAAATAAATACCCCATGCTATTTGGTTAAGTTTAAGAGGAATAAAAGTAAAAGACCCTTACTTTGAATCATATACCAAGTTAAGTTTACAGAATAGATTAAAACATTAAAGGTACTTAAAGGATTGAAGAAAAGAAAGGCGAATGCTTTCTTTTTTTTTTTTTTTGAGTTGGAGTCTCACTCTGTCGCCCAGACTGGAGTGCAGTGGCCACTCCCGGTCACCGCAGCCTCGACCTGCTGGGCTCTGGCGATCCTTCCGCCTCAGCCTTCCAAGTAGCCGGAACTTCAGGTGTGTGCTACCACGTCGGCTAATTTTTATTTTATTTTATTGTAGAGATGAGATCTTGCCAAGTTGCCTGGGTGGGTCACGAACCCACGGGCAGGCAATCCACTCACCTCGGCCTCCCAAAGTGCTGGGATTACAGGCTAAGCCACCGAGACCGGCAGGCAAATACTTTATGAAAATGGAGTTGTAAAAGGCTCTAAAGGAAGTAGGGTGGGGTGCACAGGAAAGAGATCCTAACAAATATTAGCTTAGCAAAAAAAAATCATACACTTAAATGACAAAAATCTGGGAAATTTTGCAATTTGGATGTCAAAATGCGTTTATTATACTCAATACATAAGGAGTTCTTAGAAATCACCAAGAACCAGATAAATACAGCTGAAAAAAAGCAGGCAGAAGACCTGAACAGGCAAGTTGTTCAACTCCTTTCATGAGCAAATAAATCTAAAAATAGTAAGATACCATTTATTGACTTGTGAATTGGGAAAGATGATAAAACAGGAAAATACCCAAACAGTACTGGCAAAGGCATAAGGAATCAGCATTCTCTTATAATGCTAATGTCCTACTATAAATTGATATAAATTGGCAACGTTTTTCCAAAGATTAATTTGGTAATATGTATCAAAACATTAAAAAATGTAAACCTATTGATCCAACAATTCCACTTCTAATAATTTAACCTGAAAGAAATGCATAAATGTACAAGGCTGTTATGTAAAAGGTTGAAACATCTGAAAATAATTGAAACATCTAATTAGGGATTGAGTAAATACATACGTAAGACATCCACAAAATAAAATAGTATTGGTGTTATTAAACATCAGGTTGCAAAAGTATGTTTACATTAATATGAAAATATATTCATGGCACCTGTTATAGAACAATAAACCATGTGTATGCATATATACATGAACATATGCCCAGAAAAACATCTAGAAAGATGTGGACTGGTGTTTAATATTGGATGGTGGAAAGATTTTAATTAAATTTTTATATTTTAGGCCTGCACGTTCCAGTCCAGGACATTCTAGATGATCAGCTCTCCAATAATTTTCTCATTTTTCTACTATGCCTATGTATGACTTATACAAAAACAAGTTCTTAAAACCTTTAAAGAAAATAAAATATTTTCATTTTGCATTTTACACATTATATATTTTACACATTTAACATTTAATAGAAAATGTACAACTGTCAAACTAAAGACTATCTTAAAGAAATGTCAGTTATTTTAATCCTTACATATTTAGGGTAGGACAGAAGAATATACTAATGTACTGAGTCTAGAAGCTCAAGTTCTTATTTTGGCTCTGCCTATTATTAGCCAGGTGGTCTTGGGGAAGTCATTGAACCTTTATCTTGGATTCCTCATGCATTAAATGAAGATGATTATAAAAATCAAATTAAAGAATAAATGTGTAGCCATTTATAAACAATATCAAATGTTATCCTTAAGCCCCGGCATTATTTTGAGCCCCTGGTATTATTCCACATTAATGGTATGAAGACATCCAGTTACTTGTAATTTAGGAATACACAGATGAGTAATTATGATTTAATTATTCCATTTATCAAATAAACCAGCAGGACAGAAATCTCTGACGGACAGATGAACAATCTCTTGGAGATAAAGAATTGCTAGCAATCCTATATGCAATCACTATTTTGCCTTGGTTCCAAGGCCATAAAAGGCAGATTATTAATGTCTCATTTCTATAATTTATTAACAGACTCTATAGAATTTGCTCTGTGGGGAAATGAGTTCAGTTCTCATCTGTGGAGACAAACAGACTTTCGGTTTTAATGGTGAGAAAGTTAACGCAGCACTAATCTTTCTGTGACCCTGCTTTCCATACCCTTCCCTCCTCTTCTCAATTTCGCTCAAACTACAAAAGAACCAGAGAAGTTAAGGAGTGAAGATTCCTCTGGACTCTCACTGTGCACCTGCAGTCATAACTGAGTTAACCTACTGAGACCACGCAGCTGCCAGCTCTGACTTAACCCTCCAAGTATCTGCAATCCCTCTATGCATTAGAAACAACAAGGGGCCGGGCTCGGTGGCTCAGCCTGTAATCCCGCGCCTTTGGGAGGCTGAGGTGAGTGGATTGCTTGCACCCGTGGGTTCGAGACCCACCTGGGCAGGCGAGACCTCATCTCTAAAACAAATCAAAAATTAGCCGGGTGTGGTAGGGCGTGCCTGTAGTTCCAGCTACTTGGAAGGCTGAGGCGGAAGGATCGCCGGAGCCCAGCAGGTCGAGGCTGCGGTGGCTGGGAGCAGCCACTGCACTCCAGCCTGGGCAACAGAGTGAGACTCCAACTCAAAAAAAAAAAAAGAAAAGAAACAACAAGGGTGCCCAAATGAAGCATATTTGTATAATCTGTGTACCTAACCCTTAACTGTACCCCACAATATCATAATAAAAAGTATTGATTTAAAAACAAAAAACAAAGTATTAATGACCATTAGGGGTTTTATCACTAAAAACAAAATACTGGCATTCATTTGAGCCAGTGCATAGTTTACCATTAAGTAAATTATGTACTATAGATAATTCCCAAGCAGGCCATTCAAAATGTTTCATGCCAAACAACCTCAATGATGTATTATTAGTGGATGGATCTGCATCCTGTAATATCAAAAGCAACTTAGTATGAAAATCTCACCTGGCGTGTGTCTATCCATCCCTCACAAGTAAAAATACTTTGTCATTACCATGCCATGCTGTCAGCACAAAACAAGAAAAGGAATTTTTTAAAAAAGCACTCAGAGCCTTTCACCAGAAAAGACTACGAAGGTTATCTTGTTTTCTGTACAATGGCCATTTGTATACCTAACCCTGAATTGCACCCATATTTAAAATAAAAATTTAAGAAAAAAGAAAAAGAAAATCTTCTGCCTGGGCATTCCAATCTTTTTGGCAAACCTGGTATTCACTATCAACACTTGTGGGCACCAGGCGTGGTGGTTCATGCCTATAAACCCAGCACTTTGGGAGGCCAAGGTGAGAGGATTGCCTGAGTCCAGGGGTTCGAGACCAGCCGGGGCAACTTGGTGAGCCCTCATCTCTACAATAAATCAAAAATATTAGCCAGGCATGGTGGTGCACCTGTAGTTCCAGCTACTTGGAAGGCTGAGGCAGAAGGATCACCTGAGCCCAGCAGGTCAAGGCTGTGGTGGCCATGAGCATGCCACTGCACTCCAGCTTGAGTGACAGAGTGAGACTTCAACCCAAAAAAATAAAAATAAAAATAAAACACTTGTGGGAGGTCTATATTACCATTCTAAGGGTGCCCTGGGCCCACCTGTCTGAAAACTCACTTGCCCTGTGATGAGAAACCCAGAAGCCAGCCACACCTTTCACTGGTAATGGGTGAGAAGAAAGAGGCAGGGTTGAAAGTGGAACAGGGAATTGCACAACACAAACATCTCAGCATCACCAAAGTGTGCAGCATGGCTGACACGCCCATGAGTAAGAGCAGACAATCAGCAAATCATTTTCAAGTGTTACCAGACTCCCTAGCCGTGTCTAATTCCTAAATATGCTTTTAGCTTGTTTATTATGTATAGTGCAATTTTAAAGTCATAGAGAAGATAGAGTGAAAAGTACTATGGGGGGCTTTCTGTAACTTTCATTAACAACTCTTTCGCCATGGCTTTCCTTTTTCTGCCCTTAAGAAAAGAAATACTTGGAGAGAACTTTTGAAAACTATTCTAAGCTTCTCTGCACATGGCAAAAGAAGTACCATGAAGTGAAAGCTCTCAGTTCCACCTCTTTGTCTTTAGGTGGCCATGCTGCTTAAGATGCCCCGGCATGGTTGGTGTCATGGCCTGAATGCTGTTGTGCTTTTCTCAGCAGTGCTGGGGACTTAAGACTTAGGACTCAGTGTCAACAAGGAGGCTTCAGAGGCTCTCTAAAATAAGAACTTGCCTTTTGTGCTATGTCTCCATCCTAAGCTAGAGAAAAAGAGCTCCCACAGAAAATTAGAGGAGTACGACCAACCATCGCTACTTCTGTCACCACAGACAACTGGGTCCTTGGAAGGACTTGCAGCTGTGTTTTACAAGAAGGTGGCTATTAGGGAGTGACATTCTTTCTGATGTATCTGAAAATGTGACTAAATGGACACAAATGGAGAGTTCAATGGTACTCTCTGTGCACCTTGCTCCCCTTGTCTCATTTTCACAAAAAAATATTGCTCAGAAGGAGCCAAGCCATGCCTCAGATAGATATGGCTGGGATGCAGCACATCCTCCCACTACATCATGTCCCAGCATCCCCACAGGGCTTTCTTGCAGTCTCCACCAGATGAGCAGCCTGAAGCCACCAGGAGTCCTCTCATCTGATCTCAGACACAGATCACCCTGCAGAGTTCTGCTATATAGGATGTCGTTTATTTACAAGTGAACTACTCACTTCCAAGATAGGTTTGTGATCCTATCCTGCCATCTGATCAGATTTAGCCCAGGGAGATACTCACTTAGATCACGTATAAAGCCAAATAGGATACATGGCAAACCAAAACCCACAACCATGAGGAAGGGCAGATATGACCCATTTTCTGCAGACCTTTACTTTGATTTATTCTCTGAGTCTTCAATCATCATGACAACTAACTTAAATCCTGCTCACTCTAGTTAAGTGTGTAACTTGCTATGTGACATTCTACTGTATAAGACAAAAGGACATAACTATTTTCAGTTTTCTCTACAAAAGAGGAACTAGTCAGAACCAGTGGCCAAAAATGCTAAATGCTACATATTTATAGCTGTGACAATCGACCCACTGCTACCAATTAGTGCATGAGGTGATTATGTTCTCCTTCCTCTATCTTCTTTTCAAGCCCTATTCTATTCTCCTTGCACCTAATTCTATACCTGGAAATCTATGATGCTTGCTCAGCTCCACTGGCTGAAACTTCAGAATAAAAGAGAATGACAATCCTGACTAATCTAAAGCATTATTTTCATGACTGTAACTCTAGAATCTGGAACAAGACTCAAGTTCAGAGGAGTCTGTGTTAACAAGCAAAAAACTGTACATCATATAAGTGTCCACAATGAGCTTACCATTGACATTAACCAATGAGAGAATATTATCCTGGTGATCAAGGAGGCGCTTAACTTCAACAATCTCCCAATCGAGTGATCCTTCTGTGGGTGCAACCAACCTGAAAATTACTAAATGAAAAAGACAGATACAACTTTCTTAAAATGTCCAAAGACAGTAAAATACTATTTCTACTCCAAAAGCAAGCATTTAATTAAGTGAAAAATATTTACCATACTGAAAAATCCATCTCCAGAGAGAGCCTTTTTCATGCTACTTTGAACTATATCTTTTGAAGGCTTGAGATGTTTGAGATGAGATACTAAAACCCCAAGAGAGTGTGTCCTTAGAACTCTCTTCCTAACCTAGCAACATCGAACACCGAAGCCAATTCCTCTGAAGTCCAACACACATCAGCTATCATATACTCAACACATGTCATTGATGTCACATACTCAACAGATGAAGTGTGTAATAAGTCACTGGACCAAGTGCTATGGATGCTCAAAGATTAGCATGACTAAAGTCTGAGAAGTCAGAGATCACGTCCTTTTCACATTACCAAAGTCCCCCTTCTTTCTCACATTCCTCTCTGGAAAACAGGTCAAGCCATGTTTCTTTCTGTATCCCTGACAAGACTTTACCAACTGACAAGTCGCTAGCAAGGTTATTTAATCCTGACAGCCATTCATGTTCAAACTGTGGTTGTCAAAGAAGGTCTTTCAGTCAATACAAAAAGAGAGCTCTCTCTGATACCTATCAAAGTGGCGTGAAATTCTACTTTAGTTGGAATACTACCAAATGATCTTGAGATTGGAACTTGGAAATAACAAGCAATATGCTTTTTAATCAAGTGAACAGAGATAATAACCTGAAATACTGACAAGAAAAAAAACCTGACTGAACATCTTGAAAATGTCTCAGTCTCTGCATCACTTCAGCAATTCCAAGAAGCCAAGACTAGGGCAAGGGCAGATGTCCATTAAATAAAAAAAAAAATAGTCTTTCCAGCATGTGTATACAAGTCTAGTTCAAAATATTAATATTAAAAGAAAGAAAAGAAAAATTCATACTCACTCAGTTCTTTACCAACTGCTGCTACAACACAGTTCTTAGGTATTTCAACCAAAGCACTGATCCCTTCAAAAACATATAAAGCAAAGGTCAGATTATTTGTTTTACAGATTATATCAAAAACAAAAGTCTCAGTTTTCTGTCAGTCATTTCCCATAAAGAAGGTGGTAGCGATAAAGCACACAGAACTGGCTTCACACACACGTCCTTGCTTGCTTCCACATGGAAAACAATCTTGTTAAAAAAAGTATTAGGTTTCTGAGACCTTTAGGAGGCACTATTGATCTAAGGGCAGGATATGCTCTTGGAACTGTTTCACTATTTTGGGAAAGTGATATATTCAGCCATTCAAACTCATTTGCCAGGCATCCCTTAAGATAATCACCGCTGCTCATTTAAAGATGGCTGGCTTAAAAGAGAGTGAAAATGGGGGTTTTCCTTCATGCGACCTTGAGAAACCTGAGCAGGTTCCCTGGCACTAACTGAGCTAGCCAAGAGTCAACAGCGAAGTAAGCAGCCTTCAAAGAGCATGTTTATGAGACATTATTATATGTACAAAATTCCTTATATTATTGAAATAATCAGATTCAACGTTCTAACACATTTCACTTATTTAAGTATAGTATTTTTTCACAGCTGAATCATGAAATGATTCTGGGGTAACCGTAACTTCTGTAAGGTATGTTACAGTTATTACTTTTGTCTGCATGAATAAGTTAGCTGATCTATCAGAACCACCACATGTGTTGTCAACAAACCTGTTTATTAAAGTTCATTTCCTCATTATGGTATATAGGTAACTTACACTATATAGCAAATTTGGAAGGTATTCTCATTTGCTTATCCTTCCCACCCATCAAAGGACTAACACTGTTGTGATTTGAGAGTATTTCTAGCCAAATTGTTTTTTCACATAGGCATGTTTTAGCAGTATGTTTTTTCTTTTCCCACATACAAGGAGGAGATGCTGCAGGAGAAGGCAGAGGAATCGTGTACAAGAGACAAAGACAGAAGACAAGAGAGCAGGGGGATGGAGCCAGAGAAAATCTAAATGCAGAAAACAGGTTAAAAAATTTTACTAAAGTTATTTGTGAAGTGAAAATACTAGAAACCCAACAATGTAGAAGTAGCAACATAATACTCAGAATCACAGAACATACTGCTGGAAAGGGCACAGACAGCCCTGCCTTCCAGTCCAGTACATCACGGTGACTAAGATGATCTCTGCTTATTTCCAGATATAGAACAATGGTCCTAAAAGTCCCACCAGTCCATAATAAAGAAGGACTTATGGAAGGCCATCATGAGGCGAGGGTCTAATAGTACTGCTAACTACCTGGCATCCTGCAATTTGGAAAACTCAAATCACAAAAGCTCACCCCTGGAGGGAATCTTAGAGACTCCCTCCAAGTCTTCTGTTATCTCTTGAAACATTGACAAACGGTAATACTGTGAGTACTTAATGTATGTACTCAAAGATAACTTGCAAAAAAAAGGAGATTGTAATAAGATGTAGCTATTTCCATAGAAGTTCTTTTCAGCTCCAATTTCAATATTGACAGTAGAGCTACTAATAATTCATGGAATAAAATTTCATGGATAACCACAGGCTAAGGAAAGAAAGAGGAAAAAACATGAAAATAAAGATATATAACTCATGCTAATGGTAAACAGAAATGTATGCCAGATTCATGCAAGATTAGCTATCAAACTTTGAACTGAGACGTCAAAATGGTAAATCCTAGCAATGCATGAATTTAGGTATCCTAAGGCATTATTGTTCTGATATTTTATGTCTACATTGAGATAAGTTAGCTCCAATTATGAACAGTAAATTCAATTCACAGGGTGCCTGCTAGCTTTGAAATGTCAGCAATATGCACAATACTGTCCCTTCCAGGATGCCCACAGGTTCATTGTATTACCTTTAGAAACAAAATAGTGTATACATGAATTTAAGGTTTTAAACTCTGCTGCCAAGGATGGAACGCAGTGGCACAATCACGGCTCAACCTACTGGGCTCAAGCGATCCTCCCATTTCAATCTCCTGAGTAGCTGGAACTACAGGTGTGCCACATCTACCTAATTTTTTATTTTCATAGAGATGAAGTCACACTATGTTGCCTAGGCTGGTCTCAAACTCCTGGGCTTAAGCAATCCTCTCACCTCGGCCCCCCAAAGTGCTGGGATTTCAGGTGTGAGTCACCACATCCAGTATGGTTTTTAACATTTAAATCTACTTACTTACATTTTTTACTCTGAAAATAGATTTAATTTTTAAAAATTCATGGTATCAAAAGTTAAAACTTATTTTTTTTGCTAATATGAAAAATATATGTAAATAGAATTCTGAGAAAATAAAACTTTGTTAGTAAGTTTGCAGATGTATGAGGTTTTTGGTAACACCAACTGTAAAAAGAGGTCATCCTTAAGAATCTAGTCAAAGTCAATGACCCCACAAAAAAGAGAGAAAAATGCAAAGTCATAAGGTAAAGTCATAAGGTGTCCAGGTGTCAACATACTCATCAGATGCACTGCAGGAGAATGGTCCCAGAGCATAAATGAAGTTTTTCCTGACCACTTTTGAGAAATTCTCTTAAAAGGGAAGGGGAAGCCAAAGAAAGCTGGATCTCCTCCTTTCAATTCAGGATGGAAACATTTTACACAACCCTCAATCTGACTTAAATATGGCTATCTGTTATCTTCAGATCTGAAAGGAAAAATCCCCTATTTTGACCTCTGTATTCAAGGAAAATCTCTCTGAAGACTCACTGTGTCTTTCAGTCTGTCAATCATGATTTCACAATTAACTTGATTTGTTTTTTACCTGTATCAGAAAGGTGACTAGTCTTACACAGCACATCTAGTTTTCGGTTCCACACACATAGGTCATTCCCACCAGACAGCCAAACGTCTAGTCTCTGAAGAACAGTTAAACACTGCAAAATTGATTGGAAATGTACATCAATTTAGAAACTCAAGCATTCATTGTTTGGCGGTTTTGAAATAAGCAGCACTTCCTTCCATAGGTGGAGCTTATTTCTCCTCCCCTTGATTGACTGTCGGCTCTAATTACCAGGCTTCTATCAAAGAGGATGTGGAAAAAGGGATAGTGAATGACCTACAAGACTAAATCGTAAAAGACACTGTAGCTTCCTCCTTGATCTCTCTTGGATTATCTGCTCACAGGTGAAGACACTCATGCTGTCACATGTGGAGAGAGGTCCACATGGCCAAGAACTGAGGCCTCTGGACAACAGCCAGCCTACCTTGCCAAGCATGTCAGTGAGCCCCTAGAAAGCAGATCCTCCCCCAGTGAGGTCTTCAGATGACAACATCCTCATAAGAGTCCCTGAGCCAGAATCACCCAGCTAGGGTACTCTACTCCTCACCACAAGCACTACAAGAGAACACATTCATTGTTCTAAGCTACTAAGTTTTGAGGTAATCTGTTACTCACTAATAAATAACTAATACACAATGCTTAACATAAACTCCTTTTTAAAAAAAAACTGGAAATACGACCTTGGTTTTTATGTATCTTTTAAATTAGTATCTCCTAAATCTCAATTCCGTATGTTTGGTAGATTCGGGAAAGTGAGCATCTCAAAGACCGCAGCACTCCTTTACGGTACTGTAAAGGCCGCTCATTTAATAGTACCCTCCTCACCCACAGCCTCTGAGTGAGAACAAGGGCAAGAGCAAGAGAAGAATAAAAAGAAAAGGAAGAGATTCTGGTAGTATTGCCTAGGCTGAGAGTAGGGTGGCTTTTAAAATTGACAGATTGAAAGGAGCTAAAAAAAACCAACGCAGCTTATATTTCAAGGGGCCCCACCCTGTCTGATCTCTGAATTTTTAATGTCAGCACGTCATACCTTTTAACTGCCAAATAATATTCTACTGTATGGATATGCTACATCGTATTTCTCCATTCATCATTTGATGAACATTTGGGTTGTCTCCCTTTTGGAGCCATTATGAATGCTGCTGCTATGGGCATTCATAGACACACATTTGTGTTCACACAATGTTTCATTTCTCTTGAAAGCATACCTAGGAGTGAGACTGCTGGGTCAAATGGTAATTCTATGTTTCATAGTTTTCTAAGGTGGCTGTATCATTTTATAATTCCACCAGCAATTTATAAAGGTTACAGTTTCTCCACTTCTTATCAACACTTGCTATTTGCTGTCTTTTAGACATTAGCCATTAAGGTATGTATAAAATAGTATCTCACTGTGGTTTTGACTTGCATTTCTCCAATGACTAATGATGTTGAGTTCCTTTCATATACTTTATGGCCATTTGTTTATCTTCTTTAAAGAAATTTTTTTCAAATCCTTTGTTTACTTTTAACTGAGTTATCTGCCTTTTCATAGACAGGAGTTCTTTATATAGTCTGGATACAAGTCCCTCAGCAGATATACCTTGTCAGACATATAATTTGAAAATATTTTCTCCCATTCTGTGGGTTGTCTTTTCTTAATGGTGTCCTATGAAGTTCAAAGTTTTTCATTTTGATGAGGTTCAATTTATCACTTAAAAAAATTTTGTCACTGTGCTTTTTATGTCATTTCTAAGACACCTAACTCAAGGCCACAAAGATTTACTCTTACATTTCTTCTAAGGTTTTTATACTTTCAGCTCTTACATTTGGGTCTTTAACCCATTTTTTGGTCAAATTTTGGATATTACATAAGGTAGAGTCACAGTTCCATTATTTTGTATGTGGATGTCCAGTTGACTCAGCATCATTTTTTGAAGAGACTATTCTTTCTCCTATTAAAGCATCTTGGCACCCTTTTCAAAGACCAATTGACCATATATGTATGTTTACTTCTGGATCCTCAATTCTATTCCACTGATCTGTATGTCTATTGTTATGGCAGTACCACACTGTCTTGATTACTATAGCTTCACAGTAAGTTTAAAAATTAGGAAGTTTGAGTCTTGTGCCTTTGTTCTTCCTTTTTAAGAGTATTTTGGTTATTCTGGGACCCTTGCAGTCCCAATATGAATTACAGGATTAGTTTGTCAACTTCTGGGGAGAAAAAAAAAGCCAGCTATAGTTTTGACAGAGAGTGTATTCAATCTATACACCAATTTGGGTAGCGTTGCAATCTTAACAATATTAAATCTGATTCATGAACATAAGATGTCTTTCCATTTATTTAGATCTTCTTTACTTTCTTTCAATGATGTTTTGCAGTTTGGGGTATATAAGTCTCATACTTCTTTAAATGTCTAAGTCTTTTATTCTTTTGGATGCTATTGTAAATGGATTTTTTTAATTTCTTTTTTGGAATTTTCATTACTAGTATATAGAAAATTGATTTTGTACATTGGCATTGTTATCTTGAAGTCTTGCTAAATTCATTATTAGCCCTAGTAATTTTGTAGAGGACTTGGGATTTTCTATATACAGGATCTTTTCACTTGTGAAAAGAGAAAGTTTTATTTCTTCCTTCCCAATATGGATGTCATTTATTTCTCTTTCACTGACCAGTTGCACTGGCTATAACCTCCAATGTTAAACAGACATGTTGAAAACAGATATCTTCATCTTGTTCCTGATTTCAGGGGAAAAGGTATTTCAGTCAGTCTTTCACTATTAATATGACGTTAGCTATGGGATTTTCATAGATAGTCTTTATTAGGTTAAGGAAGTTCTTATCTATTCCTAGCAAGTTAAGTATATTTACCATAAGAGGAGGCTGGAGTTTGTCCAATGCCTTTTCTGTATCTATTGGGGTGACCATGTGGTCTTTTACTCTTACTATGTTATATTCCATTGATTATAATGATTGATTTCAGATGTTAAACGAAGCTCATATTCCTAGGATAAAATTCACTTGGTCATGGTATATAACCCTTTTATAAGTTGTTGGATTTGGTTGGCTAGTATTTTGTTGAAGATAATATACTGTTTTTTGCTACTTAACACTTGGTCCCTAGTATTTTCTAAACTCTTTTTATATCCTCCTGAAATTTAGTGTGTGTCTGTGTGTGTGTATGTGTTTGTGTGTGTATGTATACTAAAACTATACTAAAACTATACTAATTAACTATTTTCATTTAATATTTAGGACCCTTCCAATCACCCATTTATAAAAATATATTTGTAGTATACATTTCTGTTCATAAACCTCTGCTCAAGTTTCTGATTACTTCCTTTAAAGAGTTTTCTAAAAGAATAAATGGAGAAATGCCTGTTATCATTTTTTAAGATTAATTCACAATGTCAAACTACCTTACAGAAAGTTAGTTTATAATCTCAGTAAGCAATAAAAATGCCAATTTTACTCTCTCTTTGCTAACATCAACCCATGTAAAAACTTCACTAGTTCAAAAAATAAATAATAGTATTTCTCATTTTAGGGATCTGAATTTCTTTGATACATTATTTATTCAGGAAAAACTGAACCATTGAACTAAAGTGAGTACAATGCTATTTTTTAAAACAATTTGTTATGTGAAGCAGATCGTAGCAGTAGCAAACATATATAATTATCTAGCTGATCAACATTATAGTAAAACCCCTTTAAAAAGTACTTTCACCATGCTGGAATAAGATACTTTTTTAGTGGCAGTTCCTATAACCAGTTCATGAAACAGTTTACCAGAGGAACTTCCCCCAAAATACATTAATTTTTTTCTCCTTTTCTGTTCCTTCATCTCACTAATTTTCATTTAAAACCTAATAATGTTAGTCCGTTTTCAGACAGCAAGAATTATTTTCTTTTTCTTTTTTTTTTTTTTTTTGAGTTGGAGTCTCACTCTGTTGCCCAGGCTGGAGTGCAGTGGCACGCTCATGGCCACCTCAGCATTGACTTGCTGGGCTCTGCGATCCTTCCACCTTAGCCTTCCAAGTAGCCATAACTACAGGCACGGGCTACCGCGCCCGGCTAATTTTTTAATTTTTTTAATTATAGAGACGAGGCTTCGCCAAGTTGCCGGCTCAGGCAATCCACTCGCCTCGGCCTCCCAAAATGCTGGGATTTCAGGCTGAGCCATGGAGGGCTGAGAATATCTTTAAAGGAACATACAAGGGATATCTTTTCAGATCACATAAAGCATAGAGACTTTGATAAAGTTAATAATTTAATGACTTCTTAAAAGAAAATCTCTCTTGTTAAATTAGACATAAGCATATATTAATAGTACAAGGCACCTTCTTCCCCAGAAACATTACCAAATTGATCAATTTTTTGTTTGTTTTTCTTTTTGTTTTTGAGTCAGAGTCTCACTCTGTCACCCAGGCTGGTGCAGTGGCACAGTCACAGCTATGGCAGACTCAGCCTTCTGGGCTCAGGCAATTCATCTGCCTCAAACTTCCAGGTAGCTGAACTACAGGCTCACGCCACCACACTCAGCAAATTTTTTTTTTTAATTGTAGAGATGCGGTCTCGCCAAGTTGTCCAGGCTGGTAAAGAACCCCTGGGCTCAGGCAATCCTCTCCCCTTTGCCTCCCAAAGTGCTGGGATTACAGGTATGAGCCACCGTGCACAGACCAAATTGATATTTTGAACAGCATACTGCCATGAGATGGCTACCAGAGATGCTGCCTTTGAGGGGGGGAGGGGGAAGAAGTACCCTAACAACTGACACACAGCAATTCTTTTTACTTTAAAAAAAGAAAAGAAAGTGTTAGTGCCAACATTGGAGACCAGTTATAATTAAAGCAAATAAGGAAACATCTCATCTTACTTGTATCATTTCCCAAACTTGCTGATATTATTTAAAAACAGTGGTACTATCTCAGAATATTTAAGGTAATTTTTTTCTGTAGAAGTTTTGTTTCTCTAACTTGTAGCAGAATTTCTATCATATAATATGCCCCAAATAATATTTGTAAAATGGATGAACCAAACAGTAGTAGCCAGTTGCCATATAAGATTTTTAGTTTAGAAACTAAGTAATTAACATGTCTTTTAGACCTTAGAGAAGGCAGAAGTCGAGTGGGAAATAACTCCATAATTTTAGTTTAAAGTATAAAGAAAATAGACCAGTTAGTGTTATAGTCATTGGGCAAGAAATATCTCTTCCTAGAATTACCAACTAAAAACATACTGGGTATTACCTTTTTCCTTATCTTACTATAAAGATTATCCCCTGCTCTAATTTCAAATTCAAACAGTCTAGCAATTTATACATATGCTCCCAAAAATCTAGTCTTAGAAGAATCAGATTACTGTAGGTATGTGTGAAATAAACAATTTTTCAAATCTATAAAAGTAATTTCACCTAACTTATTAAATCTTTTTTTTCCAAGGCAAAAATAGATTGCCATAAAAACTCTATTTACTTAAGATTTTACCTTTACAGTAGACTGGAAACACGATACTCTCTGAACTTGTCTGCCAGTATCACTATCCCATACCTAAATTTATGTTAAGAAATAATTTCCAAGTAGAATTTTAAAATTCTAATTATGAGATAAGCTTTTAAATTAACATTTAAATCACCAATGTTAAACATTTAGTTAGAAAATCTTTAAATAAAACATATTAGTGTTTCTATTACTGCAAAAATTAATTCACATAATGAGTCATCAACTTAGCAGATCGGGCTTACGATCTAAAATAAGTTTGAGGCAAATTTTACTATCAAATTATTTGAAAATGCCAACAGAATGAGTGATCTGAAGTACTGAATCTTTAAAGCCATTACATATTGCAACCATATAAAGTTTACTCTCCAGAATAGTTTACCATAATCTAATGAACATGAACATAGAGCATTTATACTAAAATCTATCACACTCATTAATTAATATTTACTGAAACCTCCCTGCAATGTGCATGGCATGATTTACTGCTGTTAACCTAATTCAAAGAAGACACTAACAGTGTATTACTGTTACTTGTAAATGTATTTAAAATAATTAGGTAATAAAAATAATAAGAGGGCCTCTCTGAGCATCCAAGACTAATTTGACTTAAGCATAATTATTTCCAAACTTTTACATATTTTTTCCTATGGTAAAAAATACATTTTACATTTACATACATATGTATATACAAATATATATATGTGTGTGTGTGTGTGTGTGTGTGTATATATATATATATATATATTTAAAATGGAAACTAATTTCACAAACTAGTTAACCTTATTATGTCCAACATCTATTGTTATTTTTTATTATATAGATGTACAACAAGGCTATCTCCCAATAAACCAACCATCATAAGTGGAAAATATCCTAAGACAGAATTGCATTTAATACACCTAACTTATCAAACATCACAGCTTAGTCTAGCTTACCTTAAATGCTCTATATCAGCCTATACTTTAGCAAAATCATCTGGCAACAAAGTATAAGCAACATATCAACTGTTTACCTTCTGTGATCACCAGACTGATGGGGAGCTTGGGATTAGGAGAAAGAGGATGGTTGTACCTATCACCAGCCCAGGAAAAGATCAAAATTCAAAGTACAGTTTCTACTCAGTGTACACCACTTTCACATCATTGTAAAGCTGAAAAGCCATACGGTCAGGAACTTCCTATATTCTATTTCATTTTTTAAACGGAGCTAGATTGTTATAAGAATTACATTATATGTATACAACAAACTAAACAAGTGCTCCTAGGAATTAGGCAATGTTTTCTGGCCTTATATTTACCACAATTCTAGTATTATCTCCCAGCCATTTCACTTTTTTCACTATTTGAAAGCTGAATGTTTAATATTCAGTAACTTAAGCTCTTAAGGCTATCACTTAGAAATTTAAAAAAATCTATCTTCAGCTTTAATTAAGGAAGTTAGTTAAAACGAGTCAAGTATCCCTTATTCAAAATGCTTGAGACCAAAAGTGTTTCAGATTTCTGATTTTTTTCAGATTTTGGAATATTTGTATATACATGAGATATTTTGGCAATGAGACCCAAGTTTAAACACATAATTCATTTACATTTCATATATAAAGCAGCTGAAGGTAATTTTGTACAATATTTTTAGTAATTTGGACATGAAGCAAAGTTTTCACTGTGACATGTCACATGAGGTCAGATGTGGAATTTTCCATTTGTAGCATGTTGGTGCTCAAAAAGTTTTGGATTTTGAAATATTTCAGGATTCAGATTCTCAGATTAGGGATACTCAACCTGTAATAAAGGCCCAAACAGAGTAAACTTAGAATTAATTTGGGTAAGCTGAGTAATAATACTCATGAGATAACTTTTTAAATTAACATTTAAATCACCAATGTTAAACATTTAGTTAGAAAATCTTTAAATAAAACATATTAGTGTTTCTATTACTGCAAAAATTAATTCACATAATGAGTCATCAACTTAGCAGATCGGGCTTACGATCTAAAATAAGTTTGAGGCAAATTTTACTATCAAATTATTTGAAAATGCCAACAGAATGAGTGATCTGAAGTACTGAGACTCATGCCTGTAATCCCATTACTTTGGGAGGCTGAAGCAGGCGAATCACTTTAGCTCAGGAGTTTGAGACCAGTTCAGGCAATATAGTGAGACCTTGTCTCTAAAAAAACTTTTAAAAAATTAGCTAGGTGTGATGATGGATGCCTCTAGTCTCAGATACTTGGAAGACTGAGGCAGAAAGATCACTTGAGTCCAGGAGGTCAAGGTTGTGGTGAGCTGTGATCATGCTACTGCACTCCAGCCTGAATGACAGACTAAGACCTCGACTCAAAAAAAGAAAAAAATGAAAGACCTTCCATATGACCCATCAATCCCCCTACTGGGAATATACCTGGAAGAACTCAAATCATTCTACAAAAAAGATACCTGCACACACATGTTTATTGCAGCACTATTCACAATAGCAAAAACATGGAACCAACTATGTTGCCCATTGAAACTGGACTGGATTTTAAAAAATGTGGTATGTATACACAATGGAATATTACACAGTCATAAAGGACACACATATGGACTTCACAGCAACCTGGATGGATTTAGAGTCTATCATACTCAGTGATCTATCGCAGAAACAAAGAACAAAGTACCACAGGTTCTCACTCATAAGTAGACCCTGAACATTTACCATAATACTATAAGAAAGGGAGCAGGGCTCGGTGGCTCAGCCTGTAATCCCGCGCCTTTGGGAGGCTGAGGTGAGTGGAT